AGCCGCGCCTGGGCGAGGACCGCGCCCGAGATGACCGAGTGGAGGGCCGCCCTCTGGTGGCGCCCCCAGCCGCTGGACTCCCCGGTCTTCCCGAGCCGCTGCAGCGCGCCCCAGTAGGTAGGAGCTCGGGTGCGGGTAGAGCCTGTGGGTGGCGCCTCTGTCGGACCACCTCTTGGCTGACTCCTCAGCCAGCTCCCCGCTAAAAATCGGCGACGCTCTGGCTAGGTCGAACTCAAGCCAGAGGTCCGTAGCAACGGCCCCACTGTCGGCCACGGTCCAACCTAGCCTGCAGAAGGCGAAGTAAAACGCTGCAACCGGATCTCTGCGCGTGGCCAACGGCCGCTTGGATTGCACGCAGCGCCCCGTGGCCTTGCCCAGCAGCGCGCTCGGCGCGAACACGTTTGGGTCGCCCAGCCAGAGCGCCATGCCGAACTGCTGCGCGACCTGCCCCGCGCTCGCGACGGCGGGGTCCGTCTCGATGCCTTTGGGAAGCAGCCCAGCCTCAGGCCAACCGAGGCCCCTGCTGCGAAGGGCCCCTCCCCGCGAGCCAGGGCCGCGCGCGGTCCGCGCAAGACAGAGGGTGCAAGGCCCGCCGTGGCTGAGCCCCAGAAGGCGGCTGCCGCGGGCGCGCCTCTCTGCGCTGTGGCCACCTTGGCCCCTGCTGACCGCGGGACTTGGAGCCGTCTGGAGCGCGCCAGGGCATCGCCGACACGCTGAGCTGCCATGGTGGTGGACCTCCAGGGCCCGTCGTGCACGTCGCTCCCGAGGAGCCCGCCTCGGCCCGCTCTGCCGTCGGTGGACGGCCACTCCGTCCCCAACTGCTTTGCCACGTCAGCGTCGGGGGCGAGGTAGCACAGCTGTGGACGCGGCGCGCTTCTCCCCGAAGCAGGCCAGGAGGGCGCGCGCGGCTGGGCCCACGATCGCCTTGACCATGCCTGTGGCCCCGACAGTCTGCAGGGGGAAATCATCCACCACGCTGCCCAGCGTCGCTCTCGGGTAGAAGGCTGCAGCCTTCTTGAGCGACTTGTAGAGTAGGAGCGCGGCAATCCCTGTAGCGCAAGAGCATCCAGCGAGCACGGCGCCTGCTGCTCGCAGTGGCGCGCTGCATGCGCCGTCAGACATGGCGACCCTGAAACCTGAGTACATGACACAGCACGCCTTGAGCAATGTGACTGGGAAGTCAGTGGCCTGCGCCTCGGTGAGGAGCTTCTTGTGACTGATGTTCTCGTAAAACTTGCGTAGGTCGCCTGGCGCCGTGCCAGTGCTGTGCTGCTTCTCGCACGCCAGGGCCGTGAGGGTCTGGCGGGCCCAACCTGCTCTCTCGCGCGCGTTGAGCTCACCTCCGATGTACCAGGCCTGGTGGCGCTGCGCCCCCCACTGCCTGGCGATAGGCCCACGCGTGGCCGACCGGAGGCGCAGCCGCAGACGGGCGAGCGCAACTGGCCTCCTGCCACCGTCAGGCTTGGCTCGGAAGACGATCGCCGACAGCCAGTCGAAGTATGCCGCGGGGGTGTCCTCCCAGCTGGCCAGGACATCGATGAACCCGTGCAGGTAAGCATCGTCTAGGAGGAGCAGGTGTCGCGGATGTAACTGGTCCCACCCCAATCCTGCCCAGCGACCGTGCCGCTTGAGCAGGAAACAGAAGTCGTCAGCCTCGGCGTTGGGCAGCAGCTCGGGGGCGCCCCAGCTGGCGGTCTCCTCGAGACCTCCCCTGCGACGAATGTCCAGCCAGAGGGGCAGCCACTCCTTGAGGCAGTGCTCCACAGCCTCGTCGCCGTTGGCAAGGAGGGTGAGGTCGTCGTCGTCGTCGTCGGTACTGACCAGGCCAGCCTTCGGCAGCGGCTCAGGCTTGGCGAAGCGGTGGGCAGGCTTCCCGCCGCCGCTTGTTGAACCTTTGGCCCATGCCTGCAACTGCTTGCAGGCGGCGGCTGCATCGCTGCGCTGGCTGGCCTGCTGCCGAGCCCGAGCGTGCTCGATGCGCCTTCTCCAGACTGCGTCGCCCGCGGTGGCAGCAGCGGCCAGCTCGCACCTGCTGGGGGGGGGCTCGCTGCCATCGTAATCGGGGATGCTCATCGCGAAGAGGAGGCTGCGCAGGCTGTGTAGGCTGTGGCTGTCGGCCCGCGTGCCGCCAGCAGGACGGCGTGCTGCAGCAGGCTGACCAGGCCATCCCAGGCGTGGGTGGCGGGCGAGCTGAGCTGCGCCCGGCGGCGGCGGGTGGCGTCTAGAAGCGGCACCTTGACGAAGCGCACACCCTCTATAGTAGTAGTCGTAGTAGTCGTAGTAGTAGCCGTAGTAGTCGTAGTAGTAGTAGTGCTAGTAGCAGCAGCAGCAGCAGCAGCAGCAGCAGCAGTAGTAGTAGTAGTAGTAGTAGTAGTAGTAGCAGCAGTAGTCCTAGTAGTCGTAGTAGTGGTAGTAGTCGTAGTAGTAGTAGTTGTAGTAGTAGCAGTAGTAGTAGTAGTAATAAAAGTAGTAGTCGTAGTGGGAGTAGTAGTAGTAGTAGTAGTAGTAGTAGTAGTAGTAGTAGTAGTAGTAATAGTAGTAATAATACTGATAGTCGTGGTAGTAGCAGTAGTAGTAGTAGTCGTGTTCGTAGTAGTAGTAGTAGTAGTAGTAATAGTTGTAGTAGTAGTAGTAGTAGTAGTAGTAGTAGTAGTGATAGTAGTGATATTAGTAGAAGTAGTAGTAGTAGCGGTAGTAGTAGTAGTAGTGGTAGTCCTAGTAGTAGTAGTAGTAGTAGTAGTAGCCGTACTAGCCGTAGTCGCAGTAGTCGTAGTAGTGGTCGTGGTAGTGGTAATGGTAACTGTGGTAACCGTAATCGTACGAGTTGTAGTAGTAGTAGTAGTAGTAATAATAGTAGTAGTAGTCGTCGTAGTAGTACTAGTAGTAATAGTAAAATTAGTCGTAGTAGTAATAATTATAGTAGTAGTAGTAGTAGTGGTAGTAGTACTAATAGTAGTAGTAGTAGTAGTAGTAGTAGTTAGAAGAGTAGTAGTAGTAATAGTAGTAGTAGTCGTAGTAGTAGTCGTAGTAGCAGTAGTAGTAGTAGTAGTAGCCGTAAGGGGTCGTAGTTTGTAGTAGTCGCCGTAGTAGTAATAGTAATAGTAGTAGTAGTAGTAGTAGTAGTAGTAGTAGTCGTAGTAGTCGTCGTAGTAGTAGTCGTAGCAGTAGTGGTAGTCGTACTATTAACACTAGTAGTAGTAGTAGTAGTAGTGGTGGTGGTAGTAGTAGTAGTAGTAGTAGTAGTAGTAGTAGTAGAAGTAGTAGTAGTAGCAGTTGTAGTAGTAGTAGTCATAGTAGTAGTAGTAGTAGTAGTAGTAGTCGTCGTAGTAGTAGTAGTAGTAGTAGTAGTACTAGTAGTAGTAGTAGTAGTAGCCGTCGTAGTAGTAGTAGTAGTAGTAGTAGTAGTAGTAGTCGTAGTAGTAGTAGTAGTCGTAACCGTAGTCGTAGTTATCGGTATTTTCATGGCTTTAGTCGCTTTGGTGGGAGCAGTAGTTTCAGCCGTAGTAGTAGGAGGAGGGGGGGAGGAAGCGGAGGAGGCAGAGGAAGATGAGGATGAGCAGGACGAGTGCTAGCGGTTCCAGGTCGTTTCGTTGAGAGAGGAAGAGGAAGAGAGAGAGAGAGAGAAATAAAGAAAGTGAAAGAGGCTCCTCCTCCTCCTCCTGCTCCTCTTCCTTGTCCTCCTCCTCCTCCGCTTCCTCCTCATCGCCGCAGTGCGAACGGGCGGGGTGGGTCTGGCGGGCGGACCCTATCAGGCGGGCGGGGCGGGTCGGGCGTGCGGACCTTTACGGGCGGGCGGGTCGGGCGTCGGGCAGAACCTTAACGGGCGGGCGGGCGGTGGGTCAGTCGCGCGGGCGGGACACTAATGTGTGACACGTGGTCATTTGAACACTAGCGCACCCTGACGGGCGGCACGGGTCGGGCAGGCGGGTCGGGGGCGGGCGGGACCTAAACGGGCGGCGGGTCCATCGGGCGGGCGGTGACATTCATGTTTGATGCGTGTTCATCCCAGCACGCGCGTACCCTGTCGGGCGGGACGGGTCGGGGGACGGGCGGGACCTTGACGGGCGTGCGTGCGGTGGGTTCGGTGGGCGGGGCATTAAAGAATATGGTGCGTAATCGAGGTAACACGCGTTTCATTCTAACGGGCGGGCGGCGGGTCGGGCGGGCGGACCCTAACGGGCGGGCGGGTCGGACGGCGGGCGGG